TATAATTAAGTAATTTTTCTCATAGTATGTTTTGAATTGTTGCTTTTTTTTTTTTTTTAGTAAATCTCTTATAGGTTTTGCGTTTTGGATAGCATGAGGCTTACAAAAATCATTTTAGAGATATAAAAAGTTATTTTAAAGGGGTAACAACTTATCTTAGATCACAAAGAATAGAAACAAACAAAAAATGAAAAAGAAAGCTCTATTCTTTACATCCCCCCACATTTTGACTTTATATTGTCTCAATTTACATATTTTTATATTACCTATTTTTCAACAGGTTGCTGTAGCTATAACTTTTTGATAGTTTTTTGGGGGGCTTCACAGTAGAGTTAGGAATGGATTGCTTACTACAGTTATAATGTTAGACTATTCTAGATTCTCCCATGTACTTAATTTTGCCTGTGGGTTTTATACCTTCAAATCTTTTTTAACATTAGTGTTTTGTTCTTTCAGATTGAAGGACTGCCTTTAGCATTTTTTTGTCACACAGGCCTGGTGGTGGTGAATTCTCTCAGTTTTTGTCTCAAAAGATTTTGTTTCCATATTTGAAGTGTAGTCTTCCTGAATACAGTATTCTTGGATGACAGATTTATTTGTTTGTTCTTCCAGCACTTTGAAAATGTTATCACAATTCCTTCAGCCTGTATGGTTTCTGTTGAATGTATTGCCAAGCAAATTGGAGCGCCATTATACATTTTTGCTTCTTTTCTCTTGCTGCTTTTAGGATCTTCTATTTGTCCTTGATCTTTGAGAGTTTGACCACTATATGACTTCAGTTAGTCCTTTTTAAAAAAAAAAAAAAAAAATTAAGACTAATCAAGTGAAGCAGTGGGAATAGAGAAGAAACGAAGAAATCTGTAGCCTTGGGTTAGTCTTTTCGAGGTTGAATCTGTTTGATATTTTCTGATCTTTCTGTACCTGGATATTTATATCTTTCTCAAATTTTGGAAAGTTTTCTGTTATTATTTCTTTGAATAAGTTTTCTCTGACTTGCTCTTGCTCGGCTACCTCTTGCATACCAGTGATTCTTAGATTTTTATTTTGAGATAATTTTCTGTATCTTGTAGGTGATCTTCATTCCTTTTCATTTTTCTCCTCTGACTGTGTATTTTCAAATAGCATGTTTACTGATTCTTTCCTCTGTTTGATTCATTCTGCTTTGAGAGTCTCTAAGAAATTTTTAAGTTCAGCAAGTACATTTCTCAGTTTTTAAAATTATTTCAATCTCTGTTAACAAATTTCAAAATTGCTTTTCTGTGTTATCCTGGAGATCACTGAATTTCCTTAAAACTACTGTTTTGAATTCCTGGTCAGAGTTCACATATTGATCTTATTAAGGTCAGTCACTGGTTCCTTCCTTTGCTCATTTGGGGAGATCATGGTTCCCTGTTTGCTTTTGTTTCTTGTGGATGTATGACTGTGTTTTTGTTCTGAAGGATTAGTTATTTATTCTTGTCTTCACTGTCTGGCTTGTTTCAGCTTTTATTGGATATGTTTTTTGAGAGTTTTTTTGTAATTTACCTGTTGATTTTCTTTTTTCTACTAGATCACTGCCTCCTTTTTCCCCTATATAATACTTTAAGCCCAGTTCTACCTTAGTTCTAGTAAACAATACAGAATGCCACATCTTGAATGGGTGAAGTTCCAAAGGGGATGTCATGGTAGGGGACCTATGCATTGAAGCTCCAATTTTGCATCCTTTGACCAAGTTACGGAGCTGGGATTGTAGTCCCACCTCTCTCCTTTGTTTCTGGCTGTACTTAGGAATATTTCTCCCTTCTGACACTCAGTGCTTCCCATGGGTTAAGACAAGGACACATTTACTGCCAGGGAACTCAGAATGATGGGGAAGCTGATTGTCCACCTCGACCCCTGTTTTTCTAGTGTAGAAACTGTGAGTTGGGAATATGTTCTGTGCACTCAGTACTGAACAGGTTATAGGGAGGGGCGTCCCAGATTTGGAAGTTCACTTTTCTTGCTGTCTGCTTAGCACTTTCCCACTTCTCTTGGCCCTGGGAACTTGTAGGAGTGGAGCTAGCTTGCATCTGCACCCCCATTTTGGAATCAGAAATCCTGAAATTATTTTTGTATGTATGTATTTAAGGTTTACATATAGACACCATGATAGAATGAATTTGTTTGTCTTTTATGTGAGGGAAATCAGTACAGTGTTAACTGTCCATGAGGCACAATAACTTTATATGTGGTGCTAATCTACTTCTATAGTCTTTTGGTTAAGAGAAAAAAAGCATTTGATAAATTCTTGACTTTTTTTTAAGTGAGTATAGTCTGCTAAAACACTGAGACAACAAGGGAAATTGCTTCATGAATTAGGTATAACCAATAAGTGAGTGACATGGATGTGATAGGAAGGTTAGAAGAAATAGGATTTTTTCCTCTTGATCTTTCTAATTGTTTAGAAAGGGAATATTTGGTATAGTGTAGTGATTTTCTTAGACTTCAGAAGGCAAATTCCCTAAATTCAAAAAGTAAGCCTTTTCTATTGTGTGGCTAAAGAGTGAAAAACTGAATTACTTTAAAAGGACTGGAATTTCTAAAAATGGATATTTTGTCCAACATAAAAACAGTCCTGGCTGAGCGTGGTAGCTCATGCCTGTAATTTCAGCACTTTAGGAGGCGGAGGTGAGAGGATTTCCTGGGCCCAGAGGTTCAAGACCAGCCTGGGCAAGTTGGTGAGACTTCGCCTTTACAATAAATCAAGAAAAATTAGCCGGGCCTAGTGGTGCATGCCTGTAGTTACAGCTACATGGAAGGCTGAGACAGAAGGATCGCCTGAGCCCAGCAGGATAAGGCTGCATGCCACTGCACTCCAACCTGGGCAGCAGAGTGAGACTCCAACTCAAAACAAAAACTAAAACAAAAACCAGTCCTGATGAAAAATAGTGTGCCTTTGTCAGATGTGTTCTAATTAAATTTTTAAAAGGCATGACAAATGACAAAAAAGTGGCATAGTCCTGTAACTCTTCTTTTAGATTAAGCTCAGAATGATCTGAAAATGATAAAGCTCCTAAAGACTACCAAATGGAGTTTTAAGTTATGTTCACAGGACCAGGGGGGATAAAAACAACCCAGGAAATGAAGGAATCACTGCTTGAGAAAGGTAATGTAATATTAATATACCACAGAAAGGAGGCAAATCTAATCAAGATCACCTATTTTGCCTTGTTTTAATCTTTTCTCTTAGGAGAAAACAATTATTGGGAACATAATTTTTAATACTTAATATTTAAGTATTTACCCTTGATAAAACTGAAATGAATGGTTACTGATTAAAAACACTACTGTTAGAAAACAAAATCCTCTTCTGCCATATTCCCATAGGGAGAGGCCTAATATTTTTCTGAAAGAGAAATCAGAGTCCCTGCCCTGTTTTGGAACTTGTGACCTAGTTGGGGCCGGATTGGGGTGGGGTAGGAAGACATAATTGTAAAACAATTAGACAAACCTCCAGTTTAAGCAAATTCAAGATAAAGTGGTAGGATACACACATACCTGATGATGGAATTTCTAATAAGGGAAAATCCTCATAGGGAAAAGGCTAATATGGGAGGGACTTATGAAGGCAATAAACCTTGAACTGGGCTTTTGAAACAAAACCTTTTAAATAGAGGAAAGGAATAAGGAAAGCACTTTCAGTAGGGAAAGCACAGGAAATAGAATAATAGTAACGATGACATTTCTTGACTCCTTACTATGTGTGCAGAGCTTAAGTTTAAATTATTTATTTTAAACCTAACATCCACTGTGTTATCTCATTTAATTTTTATGTCAATTCTGAAGTCCTGTTATTAGTTGTGTACTCATTTTACAAATGAGGAACTAAGGTGCTGAGAGATTCAGAGCAGCAGCAAGAACAGTGCCTGGTACATAGCAAATGCCGAATAAATATTTGATGAATGAATGAATGAGCAGCAAACGTGCCCACATCAGTTAACTGAGTGCTCAAGCCTGGATTGGATTCACTAGGACTCACAGCCTGCACACTAAACGTCTTTTTTGGATAAAGTAAATGGGAACATTTAGAAGAGAAATAAAATGCAGATGAAAAGGTTTGTAATAGCTGAAGAATTAGAACTGGTTATACCAATGAAATAATAAAAGGGGCAGGAGCATGATGAAGGTAAAAGCAGTCTAGAGTCAAAAAAGTTTGACTTTGAAATCTTATTTCCTGTACTTATTAGTTGTGTGACCTCCTGCAGTAACAATCTCACCTCCCTGTGCCTCAGTTTTGTCATCTGTAAGATGTAATACTGATCATTTCCTATTAGGAAAGCAGAATTAAGAGGGATAATACATGTAAAGTTCTTAATACAGGTCTTGGCACATAGTAAATCCTCAGTAAATAACCACAATGACTATTACTAGCAGTTTTTTTTTTCTTAAGAAAGAAAAATTACTTAATCGAGGTGGTCCCGAGAAGTTGCATCTTGCAGTGGCAGCCAGGATAAATTAGAAAACAAGAGAGCAGAGGCAAAAAGTTGTTGAAGCAATCCAGATCTATCAAGTACTGCCTGCAAGAAAGTAGTGGTATGAATATAAAGGCATAATCAATCAGAATAGAATGATAAATTTATCAGGTATTGTATCTCCTTTTAGAAAATCCTGAGGTGGTTGTTGACAGCTTGTCGTTGGAGTTAGTATTTAAATGCTCTTTTTTAAATCTTAAAGATGAGGGGTGCATTTCAGGGTTAGGTACACGAAAAAATCCTCAGCCTCCTCAAAGAAATGCAAATTTAAATGCTCTTTTGACTTGCAACTCAAAGGTAAGGAATTATGGTTGTTCTAATTATGACATCCTGAATATATTGGCAAAGTATTTTTTTTTTCTGATCACTCTACCACCATCACCAAAATAATGTCAATTTTTGCATAGTTTTTTGAGATTTCAAATAATCCAAGTATTCCCTCCCCTATTACCCTGAAGTCTTCTTGAACAAGGACTGCTGATTGAAAACCCATTGTCTGTTTTATTTCAGTGCAAGCAGCTAATGACTCAGTCTGTAGACTCCAACAGAAGGAACAGGAATGCAAAAAGGTAAAAGTAATAGATAATGGGACACATAACTCCTGGGTGATTATTATCATCATATTAACAATTGCTTTTGATCAGAAAGTCATTTGAATTTATTTTCATTTATGCAATTATTTTTAAGGACTTAAAAATGATTAGTTTATTAAAGATGTATTGAGATGTGATCATATGGTCACACCAACAATATTTTTATAATTCAAATTGCAGAACTCTCTTTTTTTCCTTTTCAGCATTTCCATCTTTTCCCTGAAAGTGGTATTTGTCTAATAGAGAAGAGAGAAAATAGGACTTCTATATGTAACAACAAATACCCACCAGATTGGAGAGATAAATCTTTCTTTTGAGCCTGAAGTATCAAATATATTATGTATATTTCTTCTAGAAAAGGAAGCATTCATGCCTGTAGATGGGTTATTTAATGAATGGTCACAGGAGTATGTGAATCACCTGCCAGGCAGTGCTTTGCTTATTTGAATTATATCTTAACTAAATTCAGATGTGGAAAAACAGCACAAGAATTTAAGTTCCTGTGATAATTTGGTGTTTTCACTTGCAATTTTTATAAAGTATTTTTGTAACTTACTCATTGCTCTAAGTTAACAAAGATACATCTCACACTTACTAAGAAATGTTGAAAATGCTAAGTCACTCTGAAAATAATGCCTTTTTGCACGTGTGAGTATTAACAAATGGTACTGTCTCCATTTCTCTGGAATGTGTTGTGGTTAATCCACAGTCATAGTTCAGATCTGTCACTGTATAAAAATATAATGGAATGAGCCTTCCCAGAGTTTCAGTTTCCACATCCTCTGTTCAACTTTAGATGTTAATATATTAAGTTTAAAAATTCAATAATTTGATGAGTGAAGCTTTACTGAGGGGACTTGACATTTAGAACAGGTGGGAAGACTGCCCAAGGGCAGAAGGATCCAGCCGGCCAGGTCAGGAAGTAGGGCCATTGTTGAGCACATGGATGGAATGGCAAGGCAGAGCCATGGCCCGAGAAGTTGGTGTCGGAATGCAGTGCCTGCACAGTATGCAGAGTGCTGTAAAGGCAGGCAGGTATGGGGCATAAGTGAGCCATGCCAAGCTGGACAGCAGCTATTTTTTAACTCCTCTACTTTGCTCAGTACACTGGGTTAATAGATTTTAATTTGTTAAATTTAAGGCAATTCCTACACACAAGAAGCTAAAAGTCTAGAGCCCCAAATCACTAACACTAATGTAGTGTAGGATAAAGTCAGAGCTGTGACCAAGTTACAAAGAACTTTGTGGTATCTTGGCAGAGGAATAATTTATTAGGAAGATAGTAGCATTCAAACCTGCCCTTACCTTGACTGGTAAGTAAGAATTTAATTGCTAGAGGACGAGAAGAGAGAGATTGTAGGATAAGGAATATACTGTAAGGCAAAGACAATATGAGAGTCAGTAGTCTCACAGAACTGGTATGTAGACTATCTAAATGGATATTTCTGGAGATGATTGTGGAGGATCTTGACTGCTATATTAAACAACTTATTGTTTGGGGCTCCAGGAACATTCACTTGTTAAGAAGTCAAATAACAGTCCACTGGCTGTACTTTAACACCTGCAATTCTTTTGGTTTTCAAAACAAAAACTAAGTATTCTGTGCTATGTTTGCCTCTCTGATACATTGTTGAGTGACTTCAGCAGATTTAGGTGCATATACATGCACACATTAATTGGTCTGTCTTTCTGAGACATTGTCAAAGCAGTTATAATTCTGATAAATGGCAATTCTTATCATTCTTGAACAGAATAAACCTAAATTTAAATTATAATTGGAATAGCTTCTCTTGTCACTTTGAACTGTTTTCATATGTGGTGTATTAGCCATTTGTATAGTAGGAAAATGACCAGAGTTTTGGAGGATGGCGACCCAGTCTGCAGATGCTGCCTCTGGAGCAAGAGCTGCCATTTCTTCTCTTCTTCTGCTTGCTGTTGCAATCAATAAAGACTGTTCCTACTGGTGGTTGGTTCCCTTTATTAACTGTATGCTCTTGGACAAAATTCCCTGATCTTCAGGTTCCTCATCTGAAAAATACTTATTCTTCTTACCTGATAAATTTATGGGATAAATTGCATTTTGTAAATCTATGTGCAATGGCTTTGCTAATTGTACGAGAGGACCCCCAAAAAACCCAGAATTATCTTTTGGTGGGCAGGCCCCTTGTAGTACAAGCTTTCCCTGCTAGGTAATTGTTCTAGGAACCCATTGGCATCAGTGTACCAACTAGCATTATTGTGAGAGGCTATGTTTTTTTTTTTTTGGCAATTCAGCATGTTTGGCCATTTCATATGGGTGATTTACATGCACACTTGCCCTTAGTGTGCTGAGTGTTCAGCAGTTTTTGACCAAAAATATCATGACCCCCATACTCCCACCCTCCCTATTCACCCAATCTTACCCTGAGTGACTTTTTTTGTTGCTTCTCCGAATGAAAAAAGTCCTCAAAGGAAAACGTTTTGCTGATGTGGAAGAGATGAAACCAAAAATAGCAGAACCACTAAAAGGCATCAACATTGATGAGTTCAAAAACTCTTTTGAGCAGTGGAAAAAGCATGTTGATAGGTGTATTGCATCGAACAGAGTACTTTGAAGGTGACTGAAGTTTAAACATGTAAGAATTAATACACGATTTTTAATAAATACATTCTGGGTTTTTGCTGTCCAAATGTAAGGCAGCATATTTTTCCCTGCCAGCACACTGTTTATTTAAGATTTAGGCAACCACTGTGTGGTTAAGAACCTTGCATCTGAGTCAGTGAAGCACTTGAGAAATCTTCCCATTCATGATTTTTCAAAAAAGGTACTGTCCCATAGTGAGAAGGAAAAAAATGGCCTCAAGGAATAAGAATATTTTAGTCTGAAGCACATCCCTCATAGATATTTTGTCTGAGAATATTATTTAAACTTATCTGTATGGACTACTTATTAAAAATTAGTAATTGAGAATATACTAAAATGTTGTGTTTCACTAAGAATTGGTGGGGAGTCTATGAGACTTACACGTGTAAGCAGCCACCGTGTTTTTTTCCTCAAGATAATTTGGTAAAATTAGCCAGCTTAATGTCATAAAGAGATGTGTTTCTCTGCTCAGAGAAAAGTAAAAATTTTTTTATACTCTTACTAGAACAATAAACTTTTAGTCTTAAATCTTCGTCTCTTTTTTTTTTACTGCTTATCTCATTAGCAGAATATTTGATGTATAGATCTTTAAAGATTTTTTTTTTACTGCTATATCTAGCTTTCTCTAAAACTTTGACATGGCAGAGGTTGCAGACTATATATATATAGAAAGGTAAAGTTTAATTTCTCATCTAGTAAATATATACAAAGCAAAGACCTGACCTCTAGCTATATTTTACAAGCTAATTGCCTTTGGGTGTACTGTTGGCTACATTTTGTAAATTTGAATGGTTTTCAGAACAAAGAAAGATGGGAGTAGTAATGGAATAAAATAGACTGTTGCCATTAATCATTAGTTCTTTTATGTTAAGACAATTTGTGGAATTCTTTGGGAAGTAAATTGATAAACGTCATTCATCCAAATCACATTTCCCACAATTGATGCCTAAAAGTACATTCAGAAGAACAATAAATGCGCATTCCCCAGTTATTTGACATGTCTTGAAAACTACCACTAATACAAAGTCGCGTTTTGGGCGCTAGCAATAAAAGTAGTGAAATGAAAATACAATTGGCTTATAAAATGTACTGGCTTCTAAAAATATGCCATCAAGGGAGATGAGGTGGTTAATAATATCTGTCAGTAATTTAAATTTAGGCTCATGTACAGGCATCAACTTTTGAAGCCTTATTCAACCAGATGAGGTAATAATGAAGTGAATTTGTCCATAAATATTTATTATATTTAGTTATCCTCCTTTATGATTTTTTTAATGAGAGCAACAAGAGCATGTGGCTTAAATATTGTTCTTGATAGAATTTGAAAATGCAAAGTAACATAGCAGTACATATTATTCTATTTTAAACCATGTTTGACAGTTGTTATACTGACACTGCTTAGTAAAGGAAATTGTTTTTCCTATGTCTGCAGAAGGCTTATGTAAAATTAATGGCACATGCTTTACTGACAGATGTTTCAAGACTTTTTAGACCTTAGTTGGATTATTCAGAATTTTCCCTTAGACAGGGTTTCTCAACCTCAGCACTGTTGTCATTTTTGACCTGATAATTCCTTATTGTAAGGGGACCGCCCTGTGCATTGTAGGATGTTCAGCAACTTCCTTGACCTCTACCCACTGGTTACCTATAGCACCTCCCCCACAACCTGTATATCAACAATCTCCTAGGGGAGAAGGGTGTTAAAATTGCTCCCCTGCACTCATTGGCAATCACTGACTAAGACTAATGCATGCATATGCATATTCATATATGCCAGGGTGTTACCAATTATTTCTCTTTTGTAACTTAATTTATACATTTTACTAAGTAGAAAGAAACAACACCATTAATTAATTTTGGTGTACAGTTATAGTTCCTTAATAAACTTTCACTTTCTTTTACAGCTGGCATTTTTAAGTTTATCTTGAAAACAAATGTATCTATTTAAGAATGCAACTTATTTCATTTAGGAAGAACCCCCTGAAACTTGAATTTTTTTTTAATTTTATTGTGGTAAAATACATATAAAATTTACTTAACCGTTTTAAAATGGGTGTTTCAGTGGCATTAAGTACATTCACAAAGTTGTACAACCATCGCCACCATCCATCCACAGAACTGTTTCAACTTGCAGAACTGAAACTCTGTACCCATTCAACAGTAACTCCCCAGTTTCCTCTCTTTCTACTCCTGCAACCACCATTCTACTTTCTGTCTCTATGAATTTGACTAGGTACATCATATAAGTAGAATCATACAGTATTTGTCTTTTTTGTATCTAAGCTTATTTCTTTAGTATATAATGTCCTCAGGGTGTATCTATATTGTAGTGTGTGTCAGAATTTTCTTCCTTTTTAAAAGGCACATATTTAATATTCCACTGTATGTATATACTCCATTTTATTTACCTCTTCATTCATTGATGAACAGTGAGCTATCTCCAGCTTTTGACTATTTTGAATAACACTACTCTGAACATGAGTGTACCAGTATCTGTTCAAATACATGCTTTTAATTATTGTGGGTATATGTCCAGTAGTGGGATTGCTGGATTATATGGTAATTCTATGTAAAAGTCAAGGTTTTTATCTTCTTTAAGGCACTGTGCTTTTTATAATTCTAACTACTTTGTTTTATTTTTTATTTAATTAATTTTTGGCAGTTTCCAAGTCATCTTATTCAGAATTTTATGTTTGTTTCTTGAATCAATAAACACTATATGAAACTGTGTAAAAATGACTACCATTTTCTTTCCCCTGTGCAGTTTCAGAGTCTTAGGGGTTCTCCCTCCAGATTTGGTCCAGCAAATGGGGTTGAATAACAAAGTCCCTTGAATTATTTTTAAAGGAACTCAGCGGGGGTGAGAAGAGCCTGTGGGATCTGGATGTGACTAGATAAAGGAAAATGGATTTGTGTCTTTCTGGGAGAAGAGACTATGCCTGGGGCAAGAGCCTGCTCCCAAAGAAAAGGTAGCCTACAATGTTCATGGTTACTTTTTTTGCCTCAAAACGTGACACTTATTCAAAGCACATTCTTAAAATAAAAATATGACAAGATGTCCATCCCTTGGCTCCCTTCCCTCACTGCTCCTGCTGCTCCTTATCCCTATAAAATTGAACCCTGTCTGGGCCTAGTTAGCAGGATAGCCCTCTTAGATGAGGTCAGCAACATCTGCCATCTCCTCAGTAGAGGTGTTATAGAAAGTCTCAGTGTCTCAAAGAGTTCTCTTCTTCTGTCATGAACTTTAACTACTTTGGATAGAGTTTGGTAAAAATACATCCCGTATTTTTATGTTTTAAAAAATATATATTAGATGTTACAGGTTAATTTTATGTAAGAATTAGACATTATTGAGAATACCAAATTTTATATTATCGTTAAGTCCTCAGAATGAGATTGTGTTGTGTTTCTGTACCAACTGCCTTCAGATACTATGTGTTTTAAGTTTTTGTATCTGTCTCCTCTTTTGCTGTAAGACTGATGCCTACTATTTCTTCTTCTCTTGCTTAACAGCCTTTTTATTTTCTAATTTGTGATTTTTATATGATGTCTTAGAAATGAGTTACTTAAGAGTACAGTATTGTCAGTACATGAGTGTATATGCACCCCCACCCTTTTTCTTTACTCATTGTTGTGAAGAGTGTAAGAATGCTCAGCATTATTATTATTAAAGTGGAAGACTAAGAAAAGATAAAATGGAATTACTTTCATAACTTGTTGATAAGAATGCAAGACTAGATGTTCAATTAGATTGGGGAGTTGTCAGCTTTCAACTTATTTTCACCCAGATACTGATGTCAGTAAGTGATATGCCCAACATGAAGAAGCTACTTGGATGTATATATCTCTAATCACAATATTCTGAAGCTACATAATAGAAACACTAATCTTTGGCAATATCTTAGTATAAAATCTTTTCTTATAGCCAAATGATTAATAGTGGTTACCTCGAGGAGGATTGACTTGAATATAGGAATAGGAGGGAAAGACTATTACTTTTATTTGCATTGTCTGTATTGTTTGAAGCACTACAAAATCTGTTGATAAAATTAAACAAAAACTTAAATATCAGAGATGAAAGATGGAGTGGGTCTGCCTGCTAGATGCTTTGCTGGCAATTTACTTAAGCTCCCAAGGCACTGAGCTAGAAATTTGACATGTATTACCTCTAGTCTTCATCATTATTATTTCTGAATGTGAAGTATTTATTTCCTCATTGTAAAGAAACTTTAACTTGCTTGGTATCATGTAACTGGTGGCAGGTGAGCCAGGATTTGAAACGAGGTTCATATGCGTCCCAGAGCTTCATTTTTCTCTACTGACCTGCACTGAATAAAGCGCATTATGGTTTGGAAGGGGAACCTGGGCTGCTGCTTTGTGTTCCAAATGGCTTTCCATTTAAAAAGAAATGAATAATTTAAGTAGCATCTTAGCATACATGTTTAGTAGTCTCTATATTTATTAAAAATAAAGCTAAAGTAATCATTTTGATGAAGTTTATTTTCATGTTTTCTATTTTTAGTCTGACTGTGACTTATCTCTTAGATTGTAACAGTTTTTACAAAAGTTCCATCAAAAGACTTTTAAAAAACTCTTTATGTGTCTTTTGAAGAGTTACAGTCTATAAGGTTGAAAAGTTGAAAAACAATATGTTGGGTTTTGTTTAATCCTTTCCCAAATTTATTAGATGTGCAAACCCCTTCCTCACCCTCTCTGCTCACCTCTGAATACCTGTGCAGATTCCAAGAGTCTTGTAGGACATATTTTAGAGGAAGGTGTGACTATAACTCAAACTTCAGACTCACTTCAACTTATTTTCTATTGAAAAGTTTTGGTGCTAAGGAGTTGCAGATCAGCTTGGCAGAAGAGTTCTTGCAAGAGCTTGTTTTTGTCTTGTGAAAGAAACTTTTAGCTGTCTTTGTAAAACTTCATCTGGAAAGATCTGATTTGCATTCTGTGATTTGTACTCTGTGAGAGGTTTGGGTGTCAGAAAGGCCTGAGTTTGAATCTACAACCCAGCTGTTAAATGAGTGACCGTGGAAGATAAAGAAGTATCCTTGAACCTTAATTTATTTGACTGTAAAATGAAAATAAAATAATCTTATAAGAAGGGTTTCTAGAAGTAGAAAAACTATGCAAACCAACTAGCAGAAATTGGAGTTTTATAGGTGCTTAGAGCACATTGGCTAATGTAGCCTTTCATTCTGCTTGTCATCATGATTAAGATAAGAGAAAAAAGCTGAACAGCAAGAACATTGTAGATGGCCTAGAAACACGGTTTCTATCCTTTTCCTAGTAGCCGTTTTTTTCTGGCAGCTAGTATCTGAATTGCCAGTATCTGAGAACACCAAGTATCCCTTTTTCATTAGAGTTCTGGAATTAATATGCTGAAATTAGTAAGGACTTCAGGTGCTTTGTAAATTTTTATGGTTTGCATCTGTCACAGGTTTTCGTTTGTTCATTAGGATTTAGTCTGTATTAAAACATAATTGCTAAAGACATGCATGTGGAGTAGTTGGAGTAGAACTATAAAATTATTTTTTCATATTCTTTTTCTATTTTTCCCTTTGTTGTACATGTTCAAAGTTAATAATTAGAGGGAGAAAACTAAATGTATGCTGTTTTATTTATACAGTGTTTTATCTGTGTTGTTTTGGTACTGAAAAGAAAAATCTTTTCATCCTTATATACAAATATTGAGGAACATCTCAAGTAAAACTTAGATATTTGATGCAGATGTTTCAGGTGTTGATTTACTTTAAGGACTGAAACTGAACTAGAGAGTTCTTGAGTTCTCTTCCAGTGATGAGTAATCTATGGTTCATTTTAATGCATCTAAAAAATGTTTTATGTAAGGCAGGCATTTTAATTTCTTATAATAATGATTCTTTTAACATATATTCTTTAAAATTGATTTTTAAAATCAGTAGTTAAATGAAATTTGAGGAGAAATAGAGGTATTATATGAACAGTTACTTGGATTGTGTTTTTGTCATTTAAAGACACTAAACACTTGCAATTTCAAAAATGTGAGTATCCATGTTCAGTTATAGTTAAAAAAAAAAAAAGCCTCCAATGTTTCTAATAGGTCATATTCTTCCTTATTGGACATTAGAGCCATAATGGAGTTTTATCATTGTGACTTACCAAGGATTGTTATAGTAACCAAATAACAAGAGATAAAGCTATGAAATAATTTTCTGGGAAATGTCATATGACTTTCAAATTTTATTTTCTCAGATTCATAATGACCATTTAATAGCTAATGAGAAACAGCATAAGCTCCAGTGGGAAGATTTCATGAAGGAACAACCCAACAAAAGGGCTGAAGTGGATGAAGAGCACAGAAAAGCCATGGAGAGACTTAAAGAACAATATGCTGAGATGGAGAAGGACCTAGTAAAGTTTTCAACCTTCTAAGAACTTGAACCACAACAATGTCAAACTAATGAGAAAATATTCACCTCTCCAACACATATCCCACCAAACCATATAGCCTCTGCTTCAAGCTTAGCAATATAGTCAGTGGCACTCTTAAATCAGAAGAAAGAAACTTCGCCTAGAGTTTTGATGAAATGTTAATAGAAGAAGAGTGCTCCATCTTTCCAGTTTTAAGTGCCTACATACGATTATTTGAATGGGTAGGAGTAAGAAGAAAAAATAGGGTAAATATACTCTTTGTTAATCAGAGTTGATCTTCTTTTCCATTGATTAGCTCAGAGAACTATAAGTATAGACTTCTTAGAAAGATAATTCATTTTTTATGCAGGGTTAATATTAGTTTATTATTGTGGCTTAAAGGGCAGGTATAGAAGCTACCTGTCATAGCCCCCCTGGCTATTGGAAGAATGTGTAAAGTGTTATTGCATGAGTAATGAATACAAAAAGACCAGCTGTCCTTGGAACAGAGATCACATTTCATGAGAGGTGAAAATGAAAACATTGTCTCTACTATGACAAAAGTGGCCACCTTGGTCTTTGAACTGCCTCTTGGGAAAGGTTGGTCATTTTGCAGTGCGGAATAATGCTGTGTGCTTCAGTGGATGGCAGTACATACATGTTAAGTTTTGTGGCCTTCCAGCACTCAATATTTTTAGCTTTTAAAACATGCTTAGAAGGAAAAGCTTACCAAAAATATATTTTATACTTTTAGTTTTTCTAAGAGCTGTGATCTTGCCCATAGTATTTACCTCATTTTTGTTTCTATTTTGCTGTGGGTAAGCTTTATAAGATAAATAATGTCTATACATGTTTTGACTGTTTAATGAATAGTCAACAAAACCTACTAAGGCTTTTCTGTGGAATAATATAAGGATTCTGGCTCTGAATGAACCAGAAATGTTTGCCCACATGGCAAATAGTCCATGTTAAATGTAAATTCTTTTTAGTGTTAATGTCTGTTCCCATAAACAGGTATATTATGATGAAACATGTATACCAATTCTGTCATCACTGTGATCTTTAAAAATCTGCACATAACTATCGAAGAACTACATTGATTTTCTTACTTGTCATAAACCAAGCAAAAGTAAATGCAGTAATCTCTTTCAAGAGATTTATGGTAAATGAATTTGAGGTATGGATAAATCTTTCAAATTTTTTTATTGCTCTTTAGTAAAGAAAGGCACAAGGAAAAAAAATCCAACTCCCTTGTGTTATCTCAGTATTGCAACTGCAGAAAATTGACAATGCTTGCCTGTGTAAATGTATGGCTTACTGTCAAAGCTTCATTCTTGGCTGCATGTTGAAAATGTGATTAAAGTTAATAGAGGAGATGAAATAAGTATTTGAGATTTCTTTCAATAACACTGAACTTCTGCCAACTTTCTCTGTCCGCTACTGTAGGCTTGACAGGCTCATCAATCATCCCTTGGTACCTGGACTAAAAAGAGCACTTGCTGACACCAAGGCATGTTGGAATTTTCTTAATTCTCTTTCAGTGGATGGAAAAAAAAATACTTCCAAAAATATCCCACACATGAAAAGGGAGGGGAGCCTTAAATGAAAATTCCCTTTGTACCGTAAGACACTTTCTGGAATGCAATTAATTGCCAAAACACCATTGAACAGATGCTGTAACCAAGAAATCAGGATTGTGTCTGCGAGTGGGAATATGCTCTTAACTGTGGCTACCTAACTTGTACAGGAAAGATTTCTAATCATTTTTGTTCATCTCATATGAATAATAAATGCTTGCCCTTACAAGTTTGTATATATTACATAAGTATCTAAGGAAATTCCTAAATCGAAATGAGTTGATGGGCTTTTTGAGCTTTAAACATTAAGATACTCAATTCTTTCTTTGTAAGTTTTTGAGTTACTCAATATAACCTCTAAAGACTTGGTTTATTTACCTTTCTTTTGATATTTTTAGTAGTAAGCACTTTTGCTTCTATTTCCCAGTTTTCTAAATCACTTTTGATATGTATTTTATTTATATATAAAATTAAGTTTAATATTTATATAATTTGCAACATTTCTGCTATGTTTATGCTGTTGAGCAGAGATACTTTGCATTCTATGTAGCTCATAGGTTTACTGAAATGATCAAATAAAATAATGTTTTGTAATTTTAAAGCACTGTAGGAATATTTGTTTTTAAGTTCTGAGTATTTTTTTATTTTTTATAATGATTTCTTTTTGGGGTTATATATAGTGAGATGGGATTTTTTCCATTTCCTGACGTGGAGATTTTTTAATCATATATTTATTGATTTCTGCTTTGCTTGAATTGTGATCAGAGAATAGGTACATATGAGACTTGTCTGTTGAAATTTGTTGAGACTTGCTTTATGCCCTAGAATATGGTCAGTTTTTGTAAATGTTTCATGAGTGCTTGAAAAGTCTGCATACTTTTTACTTGTTTGGATAACCATCAAGGTTGTTAATTGTGTTATTCAAATACTTTCTGTTTTACTGTTGTTATTTTTTTCTACTTGATGTCTCAGATTCTGAGATGTGTTGAAATTTTCTGTTCTAGTGGATTTGCTAATTTCTTTGTATAAATCTGTTCATTTTTGTTTTATATATTTTGAAGTTATGTTATTAGATACATACAAGTTTAGAATTATCTTCCATGTTTAGAATTGAATCTTATATTCATGATCATAATTCTCTATTTCTAGTAATGTTTTTATTTTGTTTTCTGTTGCTTTAAAATCTATAGGTTTTTATATATTTATATCAGCCACACCAGCTAGTTATATTTGTATGGTGTATATTTTTTGTCCTTCTGTTGGGCCTTTCTGTTATGTTTTAGATATGCCTCTTTAAAGCTGTAACTAGATTTTTTTTTTCTATCTGGTTATTTTTTAACTAGGGAATTTGATCCATTTATAGGTGTCAAAGTTACTATTAGGATTTGTTTGTACCATCTTACTTTGTGCTTTAGTCCTACCTTTTCTGTTTTGTTTTGGGTTTTTTTGCCCTTGTTTTCTTGCATTCTTTAAAATTGAATTTTGTTTTTCTATCTAGTTTAGAAGTTAAACACTCAATTTTTATATTTTAGTGCTTACCAGGAAATTTAATTTACAAAGGTAACAAAATCTGAAGTTAATAATCTTTACTCTCTTTCTAAACATTAGACTTTTGAAAAGTCTGATTTCTTCTCTTCAACTTTAAATTATTGTGTAGACTATTATATTTTGGTATAACTCCAAAAGTAGTTATTTTGTATAGTCAATATTTATTTAGATTTACCCAGAAGTTTACCATTTTATTATCCTTTGAAGTTAGCTGGGTATACAATTCTAAGTTGACAGTTATTGTCTCTCAGTGTTTATTTTTTTGTTTTTTTTTTGGGGTGTTTTTTTTTGAGTCAGAGTCTCACTCTGTCACCCAGGCTAGATTGCAGTGGCATATTCACAGCCACTGCAGCCTCAACCTGCTGGTCTCAGAAGATCTTTCTTCCTCAGCTTTCCAAGTAGCTGGAACCACAGGTGCACACCACCATGTCTGGCTAATTTTTTATTTATTATAGAAATGAGGTCTCACCAAGCTGCCCAGGCTGGTCTCAACCCTTAGGCTTAGGCAAATCTCTTCCCTCCACCTCCCAAAGAGCTGGGATTAGAAGTGTGAGTGACCACACCTAGTATTTAATATTATTCCACTGTCTTCTTGCTTCCATTGTTGCTTCTGAAATGACAGTTGTCAGTCAGATCAGTTCCCCTTTGTAGCTAATCTGTCTTTTCTCCCAAGTCATGTTTAAGATTTTTATCTTTGATGTTTCACAATCAAATGTTGCTGTACTACAGTATGTTTAGCTGTGCTTTTTTTTTTTTTTTTTCATTATCCTGTTGCGATTTATTTAGCTTCCTGAATCTGAGAATTCATATCTTTCATGAATTGTGGGAAATTCTCAGCTATTATCTCTTTGAATATTGTATCACTCTCATTCTTTCTATTCTGTACTTCAGGAAATCATATTAGACTTATGTTTTACCAATCTAACTCTCTTCTCCGTATCTCTTAATTTCTATTTCATATTTTCTATCTCTTTGTCCTTATGTGTTGAATTAAATTTCTTTAAATCCAATTCATCATCTGTTTCATTAATTCTACCTCCTTCCTACCTCTAACCTAGTTAACCCATCCTTTGAGTTATTCATTAAAGTTTTTTTGCTTTTTTTTTTCATTTCCAGAAGTTTTGTTTGGTTCTTGCTCAGGTTTTTCTGGTCATTTCCTTCTTTTTCTTTTCTTTAACTCTATTAAATGTACTTGTATTACACTCCATATATGGTAATAGTTTTAGTGTTTTTCTTTTGGGGGGTATCTGATTCTACAGTTTGTTTTTTTTTGTGGAAACAAGTTTATGGTGACTTGGTTTTTTCTTTTTCTTTTCTTTGTTTTTTGAGTTGGAGTCTCACTCTGTCACCTAGGCTGGAGTGCAGTGGCACACTCATGGCCACCACAGTGTCAACCTGCTGGGCTCAGGTGATCCTTCCACTTCAGCCTTCCAAGTGGCCGGAACTACAGGCATACACTACCACACCCGGCTAATTTTTTGATTTATTGCAGAGGTGAGCTTTCGTCAAGTTGCCCAGACTGTTCTCAAACCTATGGGCTCGGGTAATCCCCTTACCTTGGCCTCCCAAGGTGCTGGGATTATAGTCTGGAGCCACCGCACTCGGCCAGACTTGTTTTCTAATATGGTCAGTGATTTTTGTGAGTTCATACGCCTCTGAACTTTGTTTTTGAGAATTTTTTTATTACAGTATATTCCTACTGAGAAATTTTTCTTCCCTGTACCACCAATGTGTTTCTTGTGACACTGCAAACCCTGGACCATTTTAAAATCAGTTTTTACCATGGGTTCCCTGCCTCTCCTCTCCTACTTCCTAGTGTGTGTGTATGTGTGCAACCCCAAATACATGTGGACTGTTGGGCTTTGATGAGGCATTTCTTTTTTTATTATTATAAATATGTGGGGTAGAATTCAGGGTTAGGTATACAAACATTGATTATATAGGTACCCTTGTTAATGAGGTATGCCCCCTCCCTCCCCTAGCAGTTTCCCTCAGCTGCCAATACCACCTCCCCTTCCCTGACAGTTTCCTATTACTGCCAAATGCTTTCTTACAGTATTTTAATTGTTCAAGGTCTGCTTATGAGTGAGAACATAGGGTACTCTGTTCTTTGTTTCTGTGATAGATCACTGAGTATGATCGACCCCAAATCCATCCAAGTTGCTGCGAAGTTCATATGTTTGTCCTTCTTTATGACTGCATAATATTCCATTGTGTATATGTACCACATTTTCTTTATCCAGTCCAGCTTTGATGGGCAACATGGTTGGGCCCATGTTTTTACTACTGTGAATAGAACTGCAACAAACATACGTGTTTTTTTTGTAGAATGATTTGAGTTCTTCCGGGCATATTCCCAATAGGGGAATTGCTGGGTCATACGGAAGGACAATTTCTAGTTCTTTCAGAAATCATGATAAGGCATTTCTATGATAGATTTTTTTTTCCTTTATGGCTCTACTTGGAATAAAGAAGGGTAAATCTTGGAGTTTTTCTCGTTCACCTACTTTAGGCTGTGCCCTTTGAGGGTTTACCAATCCTACTGATCATCTAGCTCAGTCCCTTTTATAGACTGAATTGTGTTCCCCCAAAATTCTTAGCTGAAGCCCTAACCCCAGCATAACTGTATTAGGAGATAGGGCCTATGAGGGGGTAACTAAGATTAAATAAGGTCATACAGTGGGACCCTAATTTGGTGGGACTGGTGTCCTTATAGGAATTAAGAATTAGAGAAAGAAACACCAGTGGGTGCTCACGCAGGTGTTTTTCTCTCTGTCTCTCTCTCTCTCTCTTTCATTCACTCCTGTCCTTCATGTAGTCATGGCTCCTTAGAATTTCACTGTCACCTCATCTGCCTTCAGTTGCTTTCATTAATTTACCATGAATTCAGCCATGAATAACAAATAAGTTTAAATATTTTTTCTAGCATTTTTGGTGTTTCAGTAGCTAGAGAAATTTATCTGTACAGAAATGGCATGTTAAACAAGTATATGGTAGTTTTATTATATTAAAATTTCTCCGCAAAAGAATATATTCATATTCTAATATAAACAACGATAACCTCTTTCAATTATTGTACCACATACTTTCTATTGGATTGTTTCTTATTATTTCATGAACTAATATGATTGGTTCTACTACTTCTGTTAGACTGCTTTTTACTATTCATGAGCTAATAAAGACAAAAGTTCAGTATTCATGTTCTGAACTTGCATAACTCTTATCTGAATATTTAATTTTGGATGCTTTTAGGACATTATTGTGGTTTGTGAAAATGTCTCAGGCTAGTGTAATAGACATGTAGATATAGGGGCTAGATCTGTGGTATTAAAGCCAAAGTGTCTCGGAAATCTGGAGGTGTCACATATGCCTCCAAGACACATAGTGAATTCTCTGCTTTGTTCCTGTAATACATAGACTTTCTATCTGAACATTTGCATTTACTGTGTAACCAGTTTTTTAAGTACATGTGTTTAGATTGTTGAGTTCTGGTTACCACTGCAAATTAAAAGGCAGAAGGGTTTTATTGCTTTGGAATTTAGCATAATGACTGCCATTTCTGAAATTATGCCCTGGGGGCTTCTTTTGGCCATTTGGGACTGCAGAAGAAATTTTAAAACGTTAATTCAGTTAAAATATTCGAAGCTTTCATTATATCAATAGAATATATATTTT